TCCTATTCGGCCCTCAAATTCGCCATCCTTTCACCTTCGTCGCCGGCGCTCCCGTCGTTCTCCTCATCCTCGTCGTCGTCGTCGTCGTCGTCGTCGTCGTTTCTGGCTTCCGTCTGGTACGTCGTGCGCGAGCTCTTATTAAAGGTGGCGATTTATCGCTAGTAATAACGGTGCGGTCTGGTGCTGCTTGGCGGCGAATGTCTCCCGGAGGTTCCCGGGAAGAGAGTAAGAGAGCTCGTTGCGCCCGTACAAGGGTGGGAAGAGGTCGCGCAGGGCAGAAGCTGGAAAGTAAGGGTTTATTCGCAGTAACCCCGTCCGAGGGGTGGGCGCCGCCGATGTGTTATCAGCGTGTGCGTTAAGCAGGCGCGCGCGCGCGCATGTGTGTGTGTGTGCGCGCGCGCTCACCGAGGTAGATTAACAATTCCTGACATTTTAGTGGCGCTCCGGATGCGTTAACGCCGCTTCAAGTACCGGCGCGCTCGACTGTAACGAGCTCCAGGATTGATTAACCGCCCCTGTCGGGCGACCCGCGACTACGGGCTACGTGCTTCTAAGCAAACGAGACGACGGCCCGACGAAAGATCCTCGGAACTTATAATTACCGTTTGATTAATTGCCGTTTTGACAGATAACGCGGAAACGGTGGGAATTTTTCAGCGACCCCAGCCTTTTAGTGTGTCGTTCACGCACGCTCGCCCGAATCTGCGCTCCACGTGCGCGCCGATTAATCTTCTCGAGATATATTGGATATATATTAATTGACACATCGGTCCTGGATTATATCGGATGAGTTGGCGTACACAAACTGGTAGCTGCAATGTTAAAGTCGAGAAAACGGGAGAATGTTCGTAGGAAGATAAGAACATGGAAAGAACAAGCGTTAGTGCAACTGAATTTCCTGTTATCTGAGAACGAAAAGGAAAACTCGACTTGTTCGAACAGAAAGAGGTCCCTGTAAGAGGTCTCTACTCAGCCGATTGTTTTCAGTTACCTCAACTGAGTTGCAATGCAGCTGAATGTTCAGACAAATGTTCTGGGACACAGTAACAGAGATATTAGTTTTTGTCAGCGAATTTTTCGTCTGGTTCCCATTCAATTACCCGAACTTAAATTCTTTTTTCCGTGTAGTAACAACATACTAATATATAAGATTACATATACATATTATACATATATAAGATTATTATCATCAACACTATAATAACACTTAAGAAATAGTTCTTCAGATTAAACGGAAAAATAGTTTCATTTCGTATCGTTGAATAGGGATAAGACGAAAAACTCGCTGACTAGAAATAATATTTCTGTTACCGTGACCAAAAATTTTTGTTTAAATATTCAGCTGCATTAGGCGCTGATTGCTCCAACTTCTTGGTAAGTTAACTAATAGTTAAGTCATATATCTGTCCTTGTTTTTCCTCCGATTTGGACAAAGACAGACAAGTAGCGGCTTATAAAAATTGTTTTCATGAAAGCAATTTTCATGAAAATAAGTTTTGTAGATCCCAGGAAGAATGATTAAAAATCCGATTAATGTAACCTTAAATAATACACTAAGTTAACGCATTAGTATCTTAATGTAGACCTATGATGGGCTATGATTACCATCGTAATCTTACAAAAGTTTTTCTTATTCAATTCTCTCTATTATCAAATTTATCATATTTAGAATTATCCTATACTAGTTAAAACCTAAGAAGGCGTACCTAATCCAAATTTCTAGTCGGTTCGTCAAAAGTCTCTCTCTCTCTCTCTCTCTCTCTCTCTCTCTCTTCCCCCCTCCCTTTCGTCGTTTCAAGTACACTACTATGAATATCTCGACTATGATGAATTTATTTTATAGTATAGATCAGGTTAATTCCAATTATCTGATTTATAGAATGTTATCGGATCTTCATAAGTTATGTAAAATAGCACAATTGGGATTTTATTAATGATAAAAACCATTAATAATTAGAACTTTATTAATAATTAGCACCCCTGTCATCATGCGTTAACATCATCATGCGAACCAGAGAACTGATTTAACTTACTAATTCAATTAACTGAATCAACTTGATCGGGACTATGGGATAAATTAGTAGCCGGCATCCGACAGATTCCTCTCTGTAGAGTTAACGCTGGGTAACGTGAAACTAGCGCCCGCATCGTACCATGTAGACTTGAAGTAACGCGCTGGAAAATGCTCGAATTCGATTGACGGAATTATCTGAAACAATTGATGTATAGCATACTCGGATTACAATCAGACCAGCAGAGATATCAATTGGAAATTTGAGTGGAACACGCCATTCTTTCTGAAAGAAAATCCGAATCTCTACGGCCTCTACGCGATGCACTCTAAGCGTGTTCGACAACGGCAGGTGTTTTCCCACGTAGTCGACGGTGATCGAACGATGGATCTCTCGAACTCCGCGCTACTACACGTCGATGGTAGGAATAGGTCACCTGTTCAAGGGGTTAAGAAGACGAATAAGCATTATTCATACCGTGAACGCTTATCCTTAAGTTATTCATCTCATGAATTAGTAAACACGATGAGGAGAAGCTTCGCGCGTGCACTCGTTCGCTCGCATTGGCCCATCTTTAGAAGGAAGCTTGCTAGAATATTAAGTTCAAACGGTTCCCTTGTCTTTTACGTTCGCGTCTCCTCGCCAGGAGGCACTAATTTTAAGGTTAATAGACTCGAGATTATTAATATAACTCGAGATTATTAATATTGAAACAACGACCTGATATCGTTATTTTTATTCAATTGGTGTGTGTTATTTTCAGTGACTACATTCAGCAGAGAAATCTATTTTGCAATTGTTATAAAATGCGTGAATCTGGGTATTCTTACAAGTAAACTTATCCAAAGGTTACACTCTGATTTCTGTCTAATTTGGCACAAATGTAGAAGTATAAAAAATATTTAGGTCATTTTTTCATTTTGGCTTACTTTAAGTTTCACGGGCAGTTTATAGCCTTTTAATGTTCTCATTCCTATCATCAACAAGTGCAACAAAAATGCATAAGAAATAAAATTGAATATAAGATATAGTTAAATAATTTTAACAAAATCAGCATAGTTGAGACACGAACCATTATTATATATTTACAATTACATTATTATATATTTACAATCGCGATTTAATTGAAAAACTCCCATCTGACTCTTAATTTAAATCTAAGTGTCTCTGAGATGAGTTCAACGGGTCTTGCATTTCTGTTTTTTTTTTTAATCCTTTTATTGACTTCATTGATAAATATCTCATGAACTGCCCAAGTGAATTGAAACATTGATTCTCTTAGTTACTCAATATGATACTATTACCACATTCTATCAAAGATAAAATTTGACGGCACGTCGAACGCGCGTACAATACGCGTCTCGTCCCCTCCCCCTTATTCTTCCGTATTTCCTCCCAATGAAATTTTCAAAGAACTTCCGAAGAAGTGGAAGAGGGTCCCGACACTCCCTCACTCAGAGTCGCACACCTCCTATCACGGTTGTCGGTAATATTTAAAGGAAAAAGGAAATGACTTAGCGCGCGGAGAGTAACGGTTGCCGTTCGCAGCTCCCGTCACAGCATCGTCGAAACGAGCGCTTATAGGCTGGAAATAGATTACAAACGCAATATTTCAACTGTCGTAAATATTCCTCGTTGATGACGACGTGGCCTGTCGTCGTGCCCCTTTCCAGTCTGTCTCACGTTGACGGGCAGTTGCAACGTCGCAATCTAATTGGGATAAAAACAAATTCTATAATAAGCTTTCCTAATTGGTCGTCTGTTATTGAGGGTTGTCTGCGGACCTAATTATCGCAGTGTAAACGTTGGTATGTCAAGTACTGCACAGGAAAAGAAGTGCTAGAATCAAGTAAATATCATCAACTTGTTCTTTATCCTTTGAAATCAAACAATACTTTTGTCAATTCAAATTTTGATGGCTTGTAGTAAATATTTACTTCAACACAGTAATATATTAATTTATAAATGAGAATATTTCTGCATGTAAGTAAGTCGTTCTAAATTTGAATGAAATATTTACTAGAATTATGAAGTAATTTTTTTTCTTTAAAGAGAAACATAGTAATTTAAATTTTTATTTATCTATCCAGCAAATATTCTCTAAAATTGAAATTTTTATATTCTCAATGTATTAGCTGGACAAGACACGAAGCTTTCGCGGCCGCCCCTAAGTGGCGCTGTTTTCGCAGTTTAATTCACTTTCTAACAGAGATATAACTAAATACGTAGGAGTGTATGTGTGTATGTGTTTGAAAATAAATTGGCATCAGCATCAATCTATATTTCAAGCTTGAATTCTCAGAAAACTTCTAATGGCAGCTTACATATCTCATAGGAATGTTTTCAAAGAACGTTCTTAATGCAGTAATGTTTGCTTTTCTGTCTTGGATTGAAATAAATATTCTATTAATAATGGATGAATGACTTTCAACTGAATTGCAAAATATGTACTTTTAATTTAAAAGTTTTGTTCTTATTTAACATTGCGTTTTTTAATCTAAGATATTATTCAACTGAAGTAAATATTATCGAACTAAACGACAAGATTCCTTCATTTTGAAATATATTTTTCTATAAAATTAATATTATAAATCTTATACAGTAAATGTCCTATTATATGAAGGAAATATCACATTGGATGCAGTAAAATGTACTTCTAATCACTTCTAGTAAATATTTACTAAGGAATATTGGAATAGTTATTTTACTTGGATAAAGAAAATATTACTTACATGTAACACTTTTTTTCTCAACATAGCATTATAAAGTCCTTTGCGAACTATAAAACGACATCTCACTTGCCAAGTTGCAAAACGTGATGATTCATGCTTCACACGTCTTTTTCCCAATTTGACATATTTCCTTATTTAAGTAAGGTAAGAAGGTAAAGGGTAAGGTTCTGTTTCATCTCTTGAACTAGATACGATTCCGATGCAAAATCAGTAGAAATTGTCTGATAAATGATATGAATTAAAATTACATCATATCTTCAATTTCTTCTTTTTCTTTATTTTTCTATTCAATTTTTTAACAACTAACATCTGTCGTCGTTGAGATCTAGCAAAATTGTTGCCCGTATAAGGCGATTCAAACGATGGCACATGTAATACAAATACTTCGCGGAGCGTATTTTAGATAAAAAGATCTTGTTTTAAAGATATATATTGTAAAAAGATATTACTATTGTAAAAATGTATGTATAATATGCGGATATATGTATACATATGTAAGCGTGTTAAAATGATGACATACTAGAAAATATTAAGTATTGCACCCACTAGTAAATCTCAATAGATTCTCTGAAAAAAAATCAGCAGTATTACATAAAAAGAATATCAAAGGCATACAATTTGCGTAGATACGTAAAGTCATACGCATCACAACAAAATAATAAAATGTTTAATTTTGTATAATAGTATAATGGCATCACGAGTATATATACAAGTTGGTCCACATAACTCTTTACAGCTTAATATCACAAAAATTAAGAAAGATATGAAAAAAATGTTTCCAACAAAAATTGTAGAATTAAGAAGGAAGAAAGATAGTAATATTTGATCTTAAAATTATGTTAAAAATCCGAGATCAACGAGATAATTTCTTAAATATAATCATATGGTTTTTTCGCCATAAATCGATTTCTCTGGTCATTCTGCGTACGAAAGTGCTGGGATAAAATTTTCGAAAAGTGGATACTTTTCGAGGTATTTTACATTTCATTCTATCTTTGTTTAATAAAAAATGTCAAATATTTCATAAACTGTTTACTTTTTGAGCACCTTACTTCAATACTTTTGTACATAGAATAACGAGAGAAATCGATGATATCTATCTTTTGCACACAGATCAATAAATTTGCAAAATGTATGGAATTTTATTTATAGTTTCCGTATGTTTTTCTTTTAAACAATCGATTTTACCGATTTTACCGATCATTCTACGTATAAAAGTATTAAGATGAAGTGACCGGAAAGTGAATAATTTACGAGATATTTTATATCTTGTATTGAAAAATTACAAGATAAAATATTAAATAACCCAAGAAGAATTTACTTTTTGATGATTTTATCCCAGTACTTTTATACGTAAAATGACTAGAAGAATTGACTTATATCGAAAAAACCATTTGATCCTATTTGAAAAATTAAAATTGACCTAGGCAAGGGGCTTTTAAAAATAATTTTAAAATAAAAAATAAATATTACTATCCTTTTTCCTTCTACAACTTTCATATTCTACAACTTTTGTTAGAAACACTTTTTCATATCTTTTTTTAATTTCTGAGATTTAATCGAGCTGTAAAGAGTTATGTAGGCCATCCTGTACAATAAGAGTAACGAATTATCGAAGATAACACGTTCTCGTAGCATGCAAAATGGACTTATGTCAAAGAAACGTGTTTCTCGAATCTTCAGATAAATATTACGCGAAAGTAATTCCCTAATTCATGTCTTCGTTTCTTGTTGTCGTGGCTGTTGTTGTTGCTCTTCAGCGTCCCAATCTTCAACATCCGCGGGCGGATAATTCCACTGTTGAATTTTTGCAGACCCGAAAGTCGCAAATATAAAGAAAGCGAGCACCTGAGCGACGACGGTAATCCAAAAAACGTACCTCCAACGCGCCATAGTGTGCTACAGAGATAGACACACACATGGAAATATTAGCATCATATTAGTATCACCCTAAGAAGATAATATCTCTCTTCATATTATTCTCTATAAAATATATTCTAAAATTTGATACCTTCACGGGAAGGATATATGAATATTTCGATGCAATTTACGTGTAATATAAGAGGCGAATAATACATCGAAAGTGTCATTCTCTAAAGACCTTAATACTGCAATAAAGTTAATTTCCCAGCTGATTACGCAATTAGAATGCAGTACCTCTTAAGGAAAATATTAGCTTAACTTTCTTATCGGCTTAAGGTCGTTCCACTGTTCGTAAAACTTGAGAAAAGTGGAACACTCCGTGCGCAGCTTATTAAGAATTCAAGAAATTGGCGATCACGTTCTTGTTCTTAGCCAGGATACTTCTCGCCTTTGTGTTATTAACGCTAGCGAAAAGAAAAGAATAGAGAAAAAGCCGTTTTCACTCACTCCTTGCTCCACGAGGGCGCCGACTATCGGTGGTAGGATAAAGGCAGAAATCGTGCCCGGCGTATTTGTAATGCCCATGAGAATTCCCGCGTAATTCGGGGCCAGATCGTTCTGATTAGTGAGGTGGCCAACGAATATAGCACCGCAGACCACTATGCTGAGAGTCAGCAGGACGGTAGACGTCACGCGAGCGCAACCAATGTACGCGATTATAATCAGAAAGATGCTAGGCGGTATGCAGCCTGGTGGAAAAAAAAACAAATAATATAATGCCTGACAATCCATGACACACATGTGTGCAGATAGAACTCATAGAACTTCATGAATTAAGCACAAATTTCCTCTATCACAAACAACTACATACAATTTTAAGTTATTAATATAAGCAGATTGATCACACGTGATCAATTGACAGTAAATGAGCTATGACGGCGACCTCTGTCTTCATGTATGTGTACATTAGATTAAACTAAGCAGAAAAATTCTCTACTACTTTGCAAATAACCACATGGATTTTTAGTTATCAATCAAAGAAGTTTGGTGTATTATTAAGCATAATCATGTAAATGAATTTTATAAAATAATTTTGATTCAGTTTGATGAGTTCTATTTGCACATATACAGAATGAGTAAGTTAAGAATTGTTAGACATCCTGTATATATACACGCTCACAATAATAGGAATTGCATATACTGAGTGTCCAATTTTAATCAACGCAGTTGAAAATACTGAAATAATATTATCGAGAAATGAATGTTTTTCAAGATATTTTTCAGCATAAGAAATATTTCTTTTGATACTTTTTTTTCAAATATCTCGTAAAATATTCACTTTTAAACGACTTTATCTTGACACTTCTTTACGTAGAATGACAAGAGAGAAATCGGTTATAATCATATTAATCATTGCACCTTGTTGCATTTGTATATATTTGCAAAATGCAATGAAAGTTTTTTTTATTCTTACCTTTTTTCTAAGAACAATCGATTTGTCCGTCATTTTACACATAAAAATATTACATATAAAAATTTTAATATAGTATCATATGGAAAAGTGAATACGAAATATTTCATATTTTATGATGAAAAATATTGAGATAACATGTAAAATATTTCACTTTTCGATAAACTTAACTCACGAAAGAAAATTACGATGCACGACAGAAACTAATAAACAACATACTGTAACTGCGATATGCATATATCACATAAGCAATCTTATATTTTTTACTTAAAAATTTAAAATAATGTAACCTTATACAACAACCCGTGAAGATAAAATTTTCTTATCAAAAAGTATCCTCTTTAAAACTATGCAAAAAATGAACTGAAAAACAAAATAGAATCTCAATATTTCACTTTAAGAGATATTCAAATTTATATATTAAAATAGAACATTCTGTATAGACACAAAAAATATACAGGACGTTTTAAATGTAAAAATAACTCTTAATTGGAGATAAAGCGTAAATTTCTTTTACAATATATAAAATACATTAATATTAAACGAAAGAAAATTGCAACGTACGACGTAAATTAATAAACAACGGAAATTGTAACTACGATACGCACGTCACATTGATTTTAGACATTGCTGAAGTAACAACGAGAGTTGAAAGCGCAGCATGTATTATTCGGTCGGTTGCACGAATTATACGCGAAAAATTTGCAAACAATACCTCATCTTTATTTAATTGACATGTAAATCGCATCAGTCGAGGTTTGGCTCGAATATGCTTATCATGTCCGCTGCTGTGTTTCCGAGTCACGATATAAAAAGCATTATCTTTGTTTTAACAAGTTTAATTAATTAAAGAAAATACAGCAAAGCGAGAGTTTCTTTGACGTTAATTAAAAGAATATAAGCAAGGTGAAGCACAGTTGTCTTTAAATGCGACGAAATATTTTAACGAATGTATCTTCGACTGAAGTTCCGTTGTTTAAAAAGAAAGAGTCGCTTGATGCAATATTTATGACTTCCATCACTGACCCGAGTAAAACGGAGAGGTGACTTTATAAATTCTATTTCTAACACGTACTTATGAACACCGCAATTTTACGAGCGATGGTCTGAGTCCAGAGTCCTTTTTGCCGTCCCCAGTCTAACGTTTTTCCGAGCAGCGGATTAGTGAAGGCATTCACGAAGTACGGCGTGCAAGTAATCAGAGCATTCTGCAAAATAGATCGGTTTGCAAAGGAAAGTTGAGACCTATTTCGTATGAATGTAAATTACACAAAACTCGGCGGAAACGTAATAATTATTATCGTTTGCAGGGGACGCGCATGAAATGTAATTTTACTTGTTACACTCGACTTTAATTAATACATGTAACTTTTTGAAGCACATGTAAACTCGTGAAACGATATCGAGGTTGCAACTGCCTCTTGTCTCATTTGTTATTATCACTTACCGCTCTGATGTCAAACCGCAATATTTTATTCATATAAAGCGGCATCTGAGTGAGCAGGAAGTACCAGCAGAAGTTGCCCAAGGTATTGGTGGCAATCAGAGCCCAAAACGGTACCGACGTAAAGATACTTTTCCACGGGATCTTCATCTTCATGGAGCCGGGCGACCGATGGCCGTACGAGTTGACGATGAGCGATCTCTCCTCGTCTGTGATGTACTTCTGTTCCTCCGGCGAATCTTCGAAGAATATATAGAAGACAACGCACCAAATCAACGGTAGTACACCGTGAATGTAAAAGATCGCCTCCCAGCCGAGGTAATTCAATATCATTCCCGAGGTGAGAATAGATATCACCGTGCCGAGCGACGTGCCGGCGTATATGATGCCGACCCACATGCTCTTCTCCTCGTAGATGACCCATTTCCCCACGAGAACATTCACTATAGGTAGATTCGCCGAGCTCACCACGCCGGTAAAAAATCTCACCACGTACAGCGCGCTCAGTACGTTCGCCGTGATCGGTACCAAGATCGTTAAGAACGCGTTTCCCAGCACGCAGATTAGCAATACGATCTTCGTGTTGAAGCTGCATGGAAAAGAAGTCACAGAATTTTATAGAATGGATTGCGCACTTTCACGGGACGATGAAAGCCAAGATTGAAGGACAGAGATGTGCTAAGTTAAATGTTTTCTTTGTAGGAGGCAATGTAGGAAAAACGAGAAAGAAAGAAAGAGGAAAAAAGAGAGAAAGAGAGACAAAAAGAAGACGCATTGATCATTTGATCGCTTCTTCTCTCTCCTATCACCAATTAATTATTAAAAAAGAAACATATCTTACTATCTGGAATTTCTCTAATCAGAGTTAGGAGAAAGTACGATGATTTTTTATTAGTCTGCATCTTATCCGCCATTTGGGATACTGTGAGTAGGAATGAGAGAGAGAGAAGTTTTAAAACTGCACGAACAACGAAGCATAATGCAGCTTCTCGATCACTCATTCATTCACTCACTTTCTCCCTACAAATAGCGGACGATGTCCTAACTCTGACTTGAGGAGCTCTATTGTTATCTATTATTCTTTCTTGCTAATGCTAACTTCATTCCTACAGTAATGCACAGTCTACTCTGTATAGGATATGCGTTCAATATAACAGTATTCACTATATTTGCTAATTGCAGTAATCGAATAGGAAAAGAGGTTTCAGATATACTTTATCAGTTTTTGAACGATAACACAACACAATAATAAAAATTTCAGAAAAGAAAATCAAGGTCATCTTCACTTTTTAAAATGAAATCATAACTTTAATGTTGTAAAGAGAATCAAAACAAATTAAATAATAACTCATAATGTTATCTTTATTGACCTCTTAGCATCTAATCTTATTTATCGTATTTCAAACATTATCACATTTTCAGTCTGTATCTTCACTATTTACTGTTAATAAAAATAACATTATGAATTTTTTTAAAATTAAATTTTTTTAAATTCTCTTTATAATACTACGAACAGAGAAAGATATCACATTCCATTTAAAAAGTAAAAATAACCTTGACTTGTTAACAAAAGTAACATTTACGAAACTTTTATTATTCCATCATTATATTGTTTAAAAATTTATTAATTGCATTCAGAATTTTTTCTGCCTAATTATTGTAATTGGAAGAAAAGTACTGTTGCGAAAGAAATGAATCACAGCACATCGGTAACTTGATGTTATGTTGGAAAAAGGAAAGAGAGATTGAACGAGATTCAAGATTTAGCGGAGATAACATAAAAAGTACACTTGTCTAGAGAATAATATTTACAAACGAATTAATAATTATACAATGTTGCAAACAGCTAAGAAATCTCAGTCATCTAGCTTGACTTAGATTGTATTTGTGTTATATGAAAAATCTATCATTTAAAATAAAAAAAACTTCATATCTCTACGAAAGAGATATAAACAGGAATTAATTGCACTTACCGATCTGCACAGTATCCCGCTGGAAACATACCGACGAGATATCCAGCGAAATATATACTAACGACCAGACCTTGGTCTCTCGATGACCAATCAAACGGTCCATCGATATCAGTGACGACGTCTGCGTCAGGCTCGTATTCCGGGCATTCGTCCGACCAATCTGAGATGCCCGGTTTTTTCTTCACCATACCGATAATAGCCGTCGCGATGTTCACTTTCAGCCCATAGATGATCATGTTCGCTACGCATAGCATTAGAGCGAACAGGAAGCGCACGTAGCCCGCTAAAGTCGTGATCGCAAAACAGAAACGTCATAGATCGGACTAGAATATCTCTAACAGATATTTTGTAATTGAAGGAGCAAATTACGTTTTCAGACCAGAGAAGCAACAATATTTGGGAATTTATTAAAAAAAGAAAAAAACTACTGAACGTAAAGATATTTGAATTTTATGTACATAATTAAGTAGTGTAATTAACTGTAACTAAAACACTAATGTCTACAGACCACAACACTATTGTGTAAACGTAAATTATTCATATCACGGAGACATGCAAGAACTGCAGGCTTAGAGCGGTAATGAATGCTGTTATTTCCGCGTAAAACATAATTATATATATATATATATATATATATATATATATATATATAT